GTTCAAGAGAAGAAATACGAGATGACGTCGATCAGCAACAGTCGAACAAAATATAAGCAATCAGAGCGACCAGTCAAGAACACAGAAGGCGACCTAATAACGGAGATTCAAGAACAGCGGAGCATATGAGTAGAACACTTTGAAAAGGTCTTAGGTGGACCAGCCACACTGAACCTGCTGGACATCAAGCAGCACACAAAGAACTTCCCACAGATTTTACCCCACTAGCAATGGAAGAAATCAGTGAGGCCATCAGACAAAAGTTGAGAAGCAGCATACCATATAGAGCACCTAAACAAGATCAACATTCCTATAACTGAAGAACATCTGCAACTCAAAACAACTATCAGTCAACACAAAATTCAGGGTCTTCAATACAAACTGAGTTGAAACTTAGAGAACTACGACAACCATCATCAACAAGGTACAGGCATTTGTAAACAATGGTCTGTGTAAAATACATGGTTCACGTTGGCGGATACCATCAGCAACATACCAGCTGAAGAGGAAGATAGGAAAAGATGCTGGAGATGAGTAGGATATAAATGGAGGAAATCACCAAAATGAATCACAAGGTGAATACTAACTTGGAATCCTGAAGGCGAAAGGAAAAGAGGAGTATCAAAGAACATATTGAACTGGGAACTGAAGGCAGACATGAAAGAATGAATAGGACATGCGAACAACTGGAAAGGAGCGCCGAGGACAGTTATATTTGTTCTGCCCGAGCACCATAGTTAATTTATTTTAAATCACCATCTTCAGCTTTTGGTATCTATCTTACAGTGATTTAGTGTTTTGTTCTTTGGTTCTAGAAACTCAAAATTTATAGAATTCACTAAGTATTGTTTGTTTGAATCTTCCCATTGATGCTTAGGACTGCAACTGGTCAGTCTCTTATTGGCATATGTGCATACTGTGCGTATTGCCTCGATATTGACTTAATTCACAAGCATTATAAGCAAAAATGAATAGTGGCTAGCAGTGTGTTATATCCCATAATTATTCTAAAGGAAGTTATTTAACGTGAAATACACTAATATTTATTTTGATGACTAGAATAGTGATTTAAAAACTCGTGATACTGGAAAGAATAGCCTAAAAAGTGACAATTTGAAACTGGCAACGTTTATTAATACGATTATAATTGTCCATGCTTCATAGTTGACTGGAAAATTATCTGCAGGTGGAGATTTGTTTAGAAATGAAAACTATCTGAACTTTTTTACAAACTCCCCATTCAATCCAAACGTGACTTACGTACTGCAAGAATTCACTCAGTTAAAACGAATACCATTGTAGTGACCTACTTTTGTGACGAGAACGCGATTGGTATAATGGAAACAACTATTATTATAACCAACTATACCAGTGATTGTTTTGCTGTACTTGATTGTTTAACTGTACCAAAGAGTTTTCCTTCCGTTGCCTGTGACTTTGCACGAACTTGCTGAGGCTCGGCAGTTCCAACCGTAATCTCTAGCACGTCTCGGTATACTTTCGATACCACGAGATCGCAAACAAATATATCTTATTTTAACCAATAACAGCCTTCTGGTTTTTGGCCTACCGAGGGATCCACGTCGATACCTGGCACATAATCTTCATGTAGTGGGGATCATAGTCAATCGTGACTCGACCCCATCTACACCATAGATATGGGACCACATGTAAACACAGACGTTTTAATATAAAAAATATTGGTGAAACTATAATTTATGGACGACCTTTGAGCGACTCTATAGTGACCTTGAGAATGTCCGCCAATTTACTAGGGCTAAATGACGGTTGTAAACCTGTGTGAAGGACAAAGATTACGACATACAGTTGATGGTTAGGGTTAGGAATTAGATTTAGGATTTTCATCACGAACTGACATAAGCTAAAATGCCAAAACGCTATTTAGACGAATAGGTGAATGAATTTCGAGCATCAATCCTAGACCTATTATCCCGAATCTGATTGGTTCGTCCATAAATTATAATCTCACTATTTTGACAGCTATTAAATATTTCCATGTATTAGCAAGTAGATTGTTGAAACTTAAACACTGTTGTGTTAGTCGAGAGATTGGTATTTTCCGTTTGTGTGCTTCATTTATGCTGCTACATAGTCTGAACAATCCAACTAGATAATTCACTGTTTTTAAACTCAACAATTTGTACTATATGTCCATTTTACTAGTGTATTGCAAGATGAATTTTGAATGCATACAAAGAGTTGTACTTTGATTAACTAACAGTTCTTCAGAGTTACAGACAGTGTTATTTTCTGAAGTTCCTTTCTTACTGTAAGAAACAATGTACAGTGATTTTATTTGCGCTATTCAATCCAACTTGTTCTTCATTATCGTACCAATCTATGCAGTCAAGTTGATTAACAGTAGTGTAACCTGGTAATCGAATATTGATTAGGGATTTCAACTTTAAGCCACACTTTTTTGACTTATCTGAGTTAATAGTGCTAATCGGTTGTGTAAACTTAATTAAGTAGGACGGCGTCTAAAACCAATTGAAAATGCTTCAATTAAAGCTACACTAGACGCTACCCCATTTACCTTAATACTTTTAAAGTTTTCGAAGACTCTTCAAACAATGAAGCAAATTTACTGGAGTCTACGTATCAACACGTATTCTTACTTTTTTCTGGTTAGCGTTTTTTAGCGAGTTGGTTTTCTACGGGATGGGGTCACTAACCCCATGCCCAACCCTCCTCCTTTACCCGTGCTTGGGACCGGCAGTAGCCCCCGGAGGAGGTGCAGGCGGAGTCGTCTTCATTTAGTTATAAATATCTTTTATGTCAGGTATATTTAATAAATATATAAACTTCATGCAATTTGTTGAAAAAGATAGGAATTAAAAAGACCGACTTTGAATCACAAATTTATTCATTTACATAGAAAATCAATTTTAATGCATTCAACTTCATATTACAATAATTTCTAATAAACTGTTAGCATATGAATCAAGTGACTTCTGTCAACTCAATAAAGATACAATTCGATACTTAAGTGACTGATTGGGAATCAAGAAACGATTTTTGTAGATGAATTAAATATGTATTTGAGAAAGTTATTTCTGTTTGTAGGCTGGTTATCGCTAAGTAATCATGTGATGTTATTTATTTATTCTAATAACTGACTATTTATAGGTATCAATGCCAAGGTTGAACTTGATATTTTCAGTAAATTGAGCATTGGGTAGAAGGTGAGTACAGAATATAGTACTATTTAAACTTGTGTTAATTTAATTCGGTGGTTCATTTACTCTAAAGAAGTCGCTTACATTAAGTCACGAAACGTCAGAGATAAACCTGTTTTCTCATTGGAATATAACAAAAGGTATATTTATTACTAATTGACTATTTATTTTGATGAATACGAGAAGTTGCTGGATTTTCAACGTGTTGACATGACGATGTTACACAAACTAACTCATTTTACAATTACACTTGGAAAGGATGAAAATATCATTCCGTTTTAAAGTTATTATATGGTTACACAAGTTAATGACAAACATTAAGGTAGAGAGAAGTGAACGAGCACATAGATATATTTTTTTATCTATTTAAATCACCATCATTCCAATCCCTAAATTTAGATATCACAGAATAAGTTGTTCACATATGAAAATTGAAGGTTCCAGGTTGATTCCACATGAGTTCTAGAATTGTGACATTGAGTAGTCGAAAATTAGTATGCAAACACTTTTATCCAATAATTGTTGATTTCCATAACTTCTTCATTTGACCCACAGTTAGTTTCCGAGATCATTTTCATATTTAATAGCAATTATAATAATCCTTTTATCTAATATCAATGACTCAGCTATTGCCATTGATGGGTGAATCGTGTAGCTATGTATGTAAAAGAACAATTAAACAGGCTATCCATAGGACTTGCTGTTTAATTATGGTCATTACTACCAAATAACCGAAGTCACTGAAAACCCTAGTAAATTGTGAAAAAATGAGTCACATCCCAATACTTGTGTTTTCGGGCGCATACACTTAAAGGTGCAGCGGTAGCTTAAAGGAGTAGCTAAACACATGTTAAAGTGTTTACGTAAGCGAACAAATCCCAATGACCTAATAAAAGCAGATAACAAACACTCATCTTCCTTTATTGCCCAATATAACGTTGAAACAGGGAGTAAGGTAAACCATGAGAAAAATCAGCCCCACCCATTGTACTTACATTAAATCTGCCCCAGCAATGTGCTTTCGCCTTCTCCTTATTACACTTAGGATCCAGTTTGTCAAGGTTGACCCTCTTAACAAGTTAATGTGTGGTTAGTCCAAAATGTACTGCATTGATATATATAAAAATGAACTACACTTCATTACGCCAAAGAAAAGGTTTCTAGAAAACCTTCCATACACATACAATATCTCCGAACCACAACTCGGATTTCCGTTTAAGAAGGAGCAACATAATCAAGAAGTTCATAGATCCATTTAGAACTAAAACCATGTGCTCACTAGTGACTGATTTCGAGAGATAATTCTGGTGAGAAACCATGACCAGTGGAGTTCAAACGAATCTCATGTGAGCACCAATTGTTCAGTACGTAACAATCACGGTTTAAAAATTCACTAAGAATGAGGAAATTAATAAAAGTCTTTGGAACAGAATATCAATTGTTTATATTAACAACTGAAATTTGGAAAGATCATATTAGTCTTTCATAATTTAATGTCACTACACTACTCAGCTGTTAAATAAAGTTTGACAAATGATCAGTGATGTTCACTATACAAATTGCCATATCAAAGTTTTCTGTTACTAGTATACATGTTGATGTAAATAGAAGGGGCGCAGAAAGGAGTAAACATTTATCAACCATGTGATGTCACTTTATGATATTATTACTGTACAAATGGTTGCAGTACTCACTGTGATTGTAGCAACCTATAGATATATATATCTTGATATTTATTTGAGTCACTTTCAACATATACATATTTGGTAAGTTGAAATAATTCTGAAAAAAGAAATTTACTTGATATATTTTCACTTTTGGTGATTAGGTGATCCAATGGTTTGACCAATATCATACAAGATACCGAATTTAATACTAAACCAATCCATAGTTCATTTAATGTTGTCTGATCTTTAGATTCTGTAATCATTATAAATATTTCTTGTTGTATTCACAATCAATGAAATTGAGCTTAAACTAGCCTTATGTCTTATGTTTTTAAATAAACCTTAAATAAACCTTAGATCCCATTTTCTTACCAGATGTTGTTATCTTTCTATCTTTTAATATATTTTATTTTAATATCAAACCACACCTAATTTCGTTTAAGTGTAAAATCTTTACCTAACTTCTAAGTTGTATTCATATTAATAAATTTATAATATACTCTATCCACCTACCAATTAATGACAGTTTTTATGTTTATCTATCATACCTTACAAGACTGTTCACTGTTTCAATGTCATTTTTTTCTCTTCATAATCAAGCATAATATGCTTCTCTGTATCTTCATAAGGCATTGATACAATACTTCATTTTTCCAATTGTTATGTTACATTTTTAACTTACCCTATGATTGGCTATTTGTAAGTTTTTATGATTGAACTAGGCAATAAGAGGATCAACTCATTTAAAAAATACTTTGCTAATTGTAACGATCTTTGACTCTAACGTTTGATTTATTCTGTTTGTCAATCGCACAATGTTGATCCTTTTCAACTGCTATGAATTTCTACCTTCCCTGTTATTTATATTTAGGATACTGAAGAATATTAAACATGATTAAACTCACATCTTAAATGTTATTGCATGTTAACTAATGTGCCAAATGCAAAGAAAAGTTTATTTTTGATTAAAAAAAATAAAGAAAACACAACTAATTATCATAACTTATTGTTTATAATTTCATATATCAATGTACATTTGTAACTAATGGAAAGAGTAAATGCCAACCGATAAATTCTCTGTTTGCTTCTTCTTCGTTTTTTTTCTTCTTCTTCTTCTTCTTCTTCATGATTTTATACAAATAACTGAATTCTGTTAAGTTCAGAAGTTTTATAACAAACTTAATTAATATGCATATAGATATGAATAATAGGTCTAAAAACAGTTGTGGTATATGACTAACTGACTGGCTTATTTTATGTTAGTTTTCATTTTGATATAGTTTATTTTCCATTATTAAGGTTAACATAATTATGCATCCAGTTTATATACATATATATTTGTAAAACAAAAGTATAAGACTGTCTTGTAAATAGAATAGCGTTCCTTGACTAACTATCTTATTGAACTTTGGAAAGTAGTTGATAATTTACTATAAAACCATTTGATCTTATTTTAACTCCTATACAAATTCAATGTATTGAAATGAATTTAAATTTCTATAGATAAATATATGGAAGATAAATAGCTGATGCTATACATAACTTACTTACTTACTCCTGTTACCCCTCATGGAGGAGCATAGGCCACCCACCAGTTCTGGTTAGCGTTTTCTCAGCGAGTTAGTTTTCTACGGAATGGGATCGTTAACCCCATGCCCAACCCTCCTCCTTTACCCGGGCTTGGGACCGGCAATAACTCTATAAGAACTACAGGCGGAGTTATACATAACTAATTTAACCTAATAAATCACATTAACTGTTCACTTAACCGTCATCAGTATGATATTGTCTTATTCTAAGTGATGATTGAATTCTTATGGTCAAGTTGCAACATAGTCACTAGTTTAAATGACTGAATATATTTGTACAGCTTCTTTGACACTATATAGCTGAAGGAAATCAGTAAGAAACCGTAGATTTCGGGTTTATGAAAGGTGGTACTCACCATTAAATTGTAATCTTGGAAGAAATGGTTGAAAACCATAGTTGCATTACATACTACTTATCATCAAAGGAATCACTTTTAATGAGTGTTAAAAACTATGGCTACAGAAATTTTTGAAACATAGTGCCTATAAACAATGTATCAACAAGCGAAAATAGAAACTTTGATCTTATCTATACAACAAAAGGTCACTGAAAACATTGAGAACATGAATTGGGAATATCAACACAATAGCAAGTTTGACAATCAAAGATTTAAATATAAACGCGACTTCCAAATACGTACTCTAAGTGGTTTATTACAGACCAAGAAAATTCACTCAGATGATCCCCATCGATTAATAAATATCAACATCTCAGAAACAAGCAGTCCAGATAAAAATTCAGCTGATAATATTTCTTGAGAAAATAAATGTGAACGAATTCCATTTATAAAGAATACTCTGTAGTTTCAGTTGCTATTTCAAGCCCATATACCTTATTCTAGCTTCTGGATAGACCAATTTATCCATTCTTCTTGAGTCACATTTTGACCTTGTTAATTATTAACTTATTAACAATGACTGTTTTTACATAAACGTATTTATGTGTACACTTATCCTATTTATCACATGTTTGTAACTGTTATATCTAGAGCCTTGATTCTTAATATGCCGCGAACTACTTGACTACTTGAACGATAGAACCCGCAACGTCGCAAAAAGAGAGAAGACAAAGACTGGTAAGCAGGAAGTTTATTGCCCCGAACAGTGTCAAAATATAGCACAGAAATCTCGTGTATTTATAGTTATTTGCTGAAAATAAATTACCATTTAGGTCAACCAATAAGCACATAGGTATCAAACTCATCCATCCAATGAAGAAGCTCCACGTTGGCATTTCTAGAACATTCCCCTAGCCGTGATTGGATGGAATGTCTGCGGCTCTTCCTGGGCTTCTTAGGGTTTTCTAGAGTCTACCGACGGGCCGTCCTTACAGTAACCTATTTTTATCTGGCTATAAATATTGATTAACGCTCGGATAAATAGAGTTGGCCCACACTCCATCTCCACTGCACGCCGTTTTTGTCCATTCTTCTGATTGTTTGATCCGATCAACGAGTGTACGAAATATAAGTATTGAAAAATCCATTCTCGTATTCGACTAATTTAATTCCGTTATTTACTCACGTGGATCAAGTTGATGATTATATACGAGAATAGTCAGGAAGTATATTTCAACAGCAATCATTCAATAAAAATCATTCATACGAACTACTTGGAGTCAGATGCCGGGCCACTAAGACTCGGTTCAGTAAGTCAAATATAAAAATCTAAAACTGATCAAATAGATTAAAGTGTGAAAAATAAAATTCGTGTTTAATGTTGACTTTTAAAGAATTCGGTATCAACTAACCAGGAGTAGAATAATGTCAACATAGTAATCTAATCCAAAAAATGAATGAAATAATCCTCTATTATTTCTAATAAAGAAACAAACTAAATCCATTCTTTCGAGAAGTGATCTAAAAGTGATTCAAATGATATTACTAAGAGCTGCTTTGATAAAAACTTCATTTATATTTTGTATGTTTAATTTGATGCACCAAAATTGTTTATTAATTAACATGGGAGATCATCTACAATTTACTGAAACTATATGTTGAAGCAGTACTTAGTTTTATACTCTTTTAATAAAACAAATGTTGACATTCTTGAAAACATGACCATGGTAGAAATGTTTTGCAGGTCTGTGAAATCATTACTATGTGATGGGATAAACTATCAAATATATGAATTTTTTTCTTGAGTCTTTTCACGATCTCATAAGTGTGGAAAATGTTGCCAGAATCCTGACAACTTTAAAATGATCTATATAGTTGATGGATGAAGTTGCTAGTTTTCAACTTGTTCGTCGTCTTATGGAAATGAGCAAAGTTGAAAACATATCGAATTTTAGATTTGCAATGTATATAAACAGTTAAAAAGCTTCAGATAATCTTTCGAAGCCTAAATTCAAGGAACAGTTGTTCAGTGTTTTGATAAAGATCTTGGACTGATCCATGTTGGTAGGTGTAGACTACCTGGTTGGGATTCGCGAGATGATAGCAATCGATGGTTAGAGACCTTGAATGACATGGCTCAAAATCGTTTGCAATGGTGAAGGTGCAGCCACTCTTTGTGTTCTACCAAATTCTAATCTTCTGAATTCTTCATGTCTCTATCTTTTTTCTCTTTTTTAATTTATTTCACTGGATTATACTCCTCCAATAACATCTTCAAACACTAATCTTTAACATAATGCTTACACTCTTACTACTTCTACCACTATAGGATTTGAATGGGAAACTGCATCTCTGTGCTAATGTGTTATGGCAACTCGAACTGATGTACGAACGCACGAAGTTCTACATTGTGACTGACTAACTAACTAAAGATCTTGAAGAACAATCATTTAACGTGATCATCGATATCACTAAAATATTTCTAAGGTTGCAAATTTCTGCGCAGGAAATAAGTATGTTGTTAAGCAAATCTCTTGAGAAATCCCTTGTTCATAAGATTTAAGTTATAAAGTTTAATTTGCAGTTCATTTCGAGAATCATTTCTGAATTTTGTCAGAATGAATAACATGTAAATTACTCAGTTTCATACTTATCTCATTCAGTCTGTCATAGACACTGCAAACGTTTTGATCATAATATTCAATTTTCAAGAATTCACCGTAGAGAATTTCATGAGGAGTTGTAGGACAACTCATAACTCCTTAGTATCAAAAGATATTTTCCGATTGAAATGACGTTTATAATAGTTGTCAGAAGGGGTTTTGTGGAGGTTTAATATTTTTCATAGTTGAAAGTGTGAGTTAATTTAGTGACTCATACTTGTATTTTTTGACCATAGGGCAGTATTCGCGTCTGTCGATCGACAGGTTTTGTGGTTGCATCTGACATTAAAATGCATAATAAAGAAATACATAAACCCTATGAAGGATCTATACATGAACACTAATGTTTGAGTCAAAGCTTATGGCGAACTGTCATCAAAATTGATAAAATCTAATGGTATTCCATAAAAATTTTGTGGAGATTTAGTATTTATCATAGTTGAAAGCGTGAGTCAATTAAAGCTAGACCACCATGGACTCACGCTTTCAACTATAATAAATACTAAATCTCCACAAAATCCCTTCTATAATTAATATAATCATATGCTCACTAGTGACTTCGAGAAGTATATCTAGAAGCTCTAGTGAGAAGCAGTGACCAATGGAGTTCAAAACCACGTCTGTTGTGAGATAGGAACTCATCGAAGACAATTGGTGAATGGTTGCTCAACTT